TAATTTTCGCATCAACGGATTCCTTATCTCCCCACGAGTTCATACATACCAAGAACATCAAAATCCATCCACAAATGGCCCTTCAAATTCCAAATGTTTGGTTTCCAATTTCCAAGCCCTAGCTCTTCAATTTTAGGCTTAATTCCATGATTAATTAGGTGGAATTCACACAAGAATCGAGTATTGAGTTCAAAAATCTTACCTCCAAGTTATTCCCTTCGATTCCCTCTTCAATTCTTGTCAAAAGCTCCAAAAATTGCTCAACAATGGAGTAAATAGACCAAAAATCGCGAAACCCATCTTTTAAACATTCTGCCCCAGGCATAATTTCCTTCTTCGCGAAAGCGGTCAAAGCGTCGCGTTCGCGAAGCACGAAAATTCCGCTGACCAGAACTCTCCTATGCGAACGCGACGCTACCATCGCGAATGCGATGCTTCAGCCTCTCAGACTTACGCGAACGCGACAAATGCCTCTCGCAAACGCGATGCATGCTAACCCGGCCCTTCGCGAACGTGGGACTCCCCTTCGCGAACGCGAAGGCCAAACCTGACTCCTCCCTTCCTGACCCTTCACGAACGCGAGGGTCCACTCGCGAACGCAAAGACCAAAATACCTGCAACTGCTGGAACTGAAAATCTGCAACTTTCTCAACTTCGAAATGATCCGTTCAACCCCTCAAAACTCACCCGAGGCCCACGGGACCTCAACCAAAGGCACAAACATATCCTAATACCCTATTCAAACTTGTTCCAACCTTCAGAACACTCAAAACAACATCAAAATATTAAATTTGCATCGGATTCAAGCCTAAGAATCCCCAAAATCTTCTAGATTACGCTTTTGATAAAAAATCCAACCAAACAACGTCCGAATGATCTGAAATTTTGCACACACATCCGAAATGATCCAATGGAGATACTGCAACTTCCGGAATTTCATTCCGACCTCTATATCAAAATCTCACCTATCAACCGGAAAACGCCGAAATCTAAATTTCGCCAATTCAAGCCTAAACCTTCCACGGACCTCCAAAATGCATTCCGATCACGCTCCTAAGTTCCAAATCACCTAACGGAGCTAACCAAATCATAAAAATTCCAATCCGAGATCATATACAAACAAGTCAAATCTTGGTCAAACCTTTCAAATTTTTTTAAGCTTTAAACTGAGAACTGTTCTTTCAAATTCATTCCGATTAAACTAAAACCAAAACCAACGATTTACATAAGTCATAATACACCACACGGGGCAAGTCATGCCTGAGAACTGGCGAACAAAGTGCAAAAGCTCAAAACGACCGGTCGGATCGTTACACCAGGTATGTTTTTAATGAATAAATTTTTTAGCTATTAAATTATACAAATATACTACAATCATAGTAATATTCAAAATAAGTGTAGCTTGACTAAATACTTAACATAATGGTATGTGAAAACAATCGCAGAAATTAATGATGCAAGTGAATATAAAGATGAGTATGAAGGTATGTCTATATTGGCACAAACAGTGATTCATTCATGTCCACTATTTCAATTTTTATGGCTAATTTAATATGTTTTTAATATTATACTCTTTCGAGGATGACGTCGGATATGCAAGTATTGACAATGAAGGTATGGATATTTTATTATTTCTATATGTGTATACAATAACTAAGCATGCCATAACATAACACCTTGACATTAATCTTACATTTGCTTCTTTTATTAATAGAGTACTGGGATATAGGCGATCTTACATATGAATGTGAACATTGTGGTGCTTACTTCTGGTATGAAGAAAGAATCAGGAAGAAAGTCAAATCTAAAAAACCACAGTTCTCTTTGTGTTGTTGTCATGGAAAGATAAAACTGCCAAAGCCAAAAGAACCTCCTACAGTTTTAAAACACTTATTATTTGGATCAGGTAACAAAAAAATCTATTTTTACCATGCTTAAATAATATCCGCAATATATGAATAAATCTTAATTCACCAACAAATATATATTCCAGGTCCAAAAAGTAAACACTTCAGAGATAATATTAGAAGTTATAACTCAATGTTTTCATTTACATCAATGGGAGGAAAAGTTGATGCTTCTGTCAATCAAACAAAGGGCCCAAGAACTTTCAAACTATCTGGACAAAATTATCACCAAATTGGAAGCTTATTGCCTCCCGAGGGATCAACCCCGAAGTTTGCACAATTATATATATACGACACAGAAAATGAAGTGCATAATAGAATTCATGCACTGGGGTTAGTATTCCATTCTTCTTCATTTATATATGCATGAATAATCTAACAAAATCAAACTAAGATCAATTTTATAAAACCAATTTTTATGCAGTCATGGTGAAACCATAAACCAACTTCATGCTGAAATTGTTCAAGATCTTAAACAAATGCTCGATGACCAGAATGTTTTGACAAAATCATTTAGAATGGTTAGAGACAAATTTCAAGAAGATACTCACTCCAATGTTAGACTCAGATTGATAGGAAAACGAAACTATGATGGAAGAAGAAACAACTTACCATCGGTTTCAAAGGTAGCTGCTTTGGTGGTTGGAGATTTTGATGTATCTAGATGTGACTGAGACATCATTGTTGAAACTCAATCTGGACATCTACAAAGGATAAATGAGTTGAATGCTGCCTATTTAGGTCTTCAATATCCTTTATTATTTCCATACTGTGAAGATGGTTATCGAGAAGACATTCCTTTAAATGGAAATGATGAATCAAGTGGAGGAAGGCATTTTATTAGCATGCGTGAATATTTCGCATAAATGATTCAAGAAAGGAATGGTGAAGTACCAACAATTATGAACTCAAGAAGATTATTTCAACAATTCTTGGTTGATGGATTTACAATGGCTGAATCATCTAGGTTGAAGTATATCGGAACTCATCAAAAACAACTCGAGCTGCCATGTATAAAGGATTAGAAGATGCAGTTTTACATGGAGAGATAAATCCTTCTTCTCAAGGTAAACGGGTAATTCTTTCATCCAGCTTCACAGGGGGTGCACGATACACGATTCAAAATTATCAAGATGCTATGGCAATTTGCAAATGGGCTGGATATCCAGATCTCTTCATCACATTTACTTGCAACCCAAAGTGGCCTGAGATTAGTAGATTTGTAAAGAGTAGGGGCTTACAACCAGAAGATCGCCCGGATATTTTATCTAGGGTGTTCAAAATTAAATTGGATCGTTTAATAAAGGATTGAAAGAGAAACAAAATTTTGGAGCAGTTAAATCAGGTATAGATTCATTCTTTATATCAAATTATTATCACATTTATAATCAGATTTAATAAAGAATTTATTTTACATATAAATTACAACCACTTGCCCCTATCACAAATTATTATTTTTTGCAGTGATATGTACGATTGAATTCCAAAAGCGAGGGTTGCCTCATGCACACATATTACTCTTTCTTTACAATAAATGTCCAAATGTTGGAGACATAGATCAAATAATTTCAACAGAAATACCAGATGAATTGGTCGATCCGCATTATTATAAGTCTGTGAAGAATTTTATGATGCATGGACCATGTGGTTCTACTAGAAAATCGTCTCCTTGCATGCGTAATGGTAGATGTACAAAGCACTTTCCAAAGAAGTTTGTACAAAATACAACAATTGATGAAGATGGATATCCTATTTATAAAAGAAGGGACAATGGTAGAACTATCCAGAGAGAAGGTATTGAGTTGGATAACAGGTATGTGGTGTCACACAATAGATATTTATTGTTGAAGTATGGTGAACATATAAATGTTGAATGGTGCAATCAATCTAGATCAATCAAGTACTTATTTAAGTACGTTAATAAGGGGCATGATCGTGTGACCGCAGCATTTTCTCAAAGTATGCACGAGGAAGACTCATCGGCTATGGATGAAATAAAAATGTATTATGATTGTCGATACATATCACCATGTGAAACTGCTTGAAGAATTTTTAGATTTCCAATTCACTATAGAGAACCTTCGGTAGAAAGACTTTCCTTTCATCTACCAAATGAACAAACAGTTATTTTCTCTGATGATGATCCAATTGATGATGTTGCCAATAGACCAAGTGTAAGGGAATCATAGTTTTTAAGCTGGTTCGAGGCAAATAAGACATATGAAGAAGCAAGAGAATTAACTTATGCGGAATTCCCTCTTATGTTTGTGTGGAATAAAAAATTAAAAAAGTGGAAAAAAAGAAGAAATTCTGCATTTTCAATAGGGAGAGTATTCTTTGTTCCGCCTGGAAGTGGAGAGCAATATTACCTTCGAATGTTGTTGAATATCATTAAAGGGCCAAAGTGCTATGAGGATCTACGTAGAATCAACAATCATGAACATCTAACTTTTAGAGATGCATGTTATGCACTGGGTTTATTAGATGATGACAAAGAATATGTGGATGCCATAAAGGAGGCAAGTAACTGGGAATGCCATCATTTCTCAGGCAATTATTTGCTATGCTACTATTATCAAATTCAATGTCTCGACCAGAAAGTGTTTGGGAGGAAACACGAATTTTACTATCAGATGATATCCTACATGAAGAAAGAAGAATATTGGATAATCCAAGTATACATTTGAACCTTCTATTTCAAATTTTAACCTTATATATTTGTTAAAAATATGTTTTAGGCTTGGAAAGTATGAGTTATTAATTATTTATATATTTTGTTAGAGGAAACTGGATGTAGACATCCAAATTAGTATAGCAACATTAATTTGCTTTTATAATTTCCAAATGAAATCATTTTACTCTTATATTGATATGACTCGTGAACACTTTATATTTTTCTAAATGATTAATTAACTCTCTCTCTCTCTATGTATGTGTGTATATATATATATATATATATATATATATATATATATATATATATATATTATTTCAGAGGCTGAGCTAACAAATGATGACCTGAAGAATCGTTGTCTACAAAATTTGGAAAATATATTGAAAGGTTGCGGAAGAATGTTACATGATTTTCCAACAATGCCAAGACCGGTTTTCTATGAAGAGGAAGTTGACAACACCAATAGACTCATACGTGATGAATTGCGTTATAATAGGCGCTCTTTATCTAAGGAACATGATGAACTATTGATTAAATTGACATTGGAGCAAAAGTCAGTTTATGACAGAATTATAACAGCAGTGCATGAGGACAAAGGTGGATTGTTCTTTTTATATGGTCATGGAGGAACTGGAAAGACATTTATTTGGAGGACTTTGTCTTCGGCCATAAGATCTAAAGGGGATATTGTGCTAACAGTTGCGTCCAGCGGAATTGCATCTCTTTTGTTACCAGGCGGTCGAACAGCTCATTCGAGATTTGCAATCCCACTCAACGCAACTGAAGATTCAACATGTAATATAAAACAGCGTAGTCCTCTAGCAAAATTGATTGTCGAGACAAAGTTAATTATTTGGGATGAAGCACCAATGATGCATAGATATTGTTTTGAAGCTCTTGATAGAACTCTAAGAGATATTCTTAGATTTAAAGATGCATCCAATTTGGATCGACCATTTGGCGGAAAAATAGTTGTTCTTGGTGGTGACTTTAGACAAATACTTCCAGTCATTACAAAAGGTACTAGACAAGATATTGTTAATGCTGCCCTTAATTCTTCATATTTATGGAATCATTGTCATGTCTTAAAGCTAACAAAAAATATGAGGTTGGAAGGAAATCAGGTAGAGTCACATTTGAATGATCTAAGACAATTTTCTGATTGGGTATTAGCAATTGGTGATGGTATGATTGAAAATTTTGTTGATGGTATTGAAAAAGTTCATATCCCTGATGTTCTTCTCATAAATAATTGTGATGATCCAATTTCTGTAATTGTGGAAGGTATATATCCAGATTTTTAAGTCATTGCAGTGATATAACATACCTACAACAAAGAGGAATTCTTGCTCCCACTCTTGACATGGTTGAATCAATCAATGAACACATGGTTTCACTAAACCAAAGTCAAGAAAAAATATTTTTGAGTTCCGATACAATCTGTATGTCAAACGATGCTTTTACAGGTTTGGAACACGTACATACACCTGAATTCCTAAACATATTAAGTAATGGGTGGTGGTGCATGGCCGTTCTTAGTTGGTGGAGCGATTTGTCTGGTTAATTCCGTTAACGAACGAGAC